CTGATAGTTGATACAAGCCACAAAGTTATGTTTTTTGGGGAAGCAGCAAACATGTCCATGTCGGGTTTCTCTGGTTTTCTGTTCTATGCGAGCTGTGAAGTTTGAAGCCATCCTTATCAGAGTCGAAAAACTGCAAAAAAAACTGCCAAAACACAAGGGAAAATCGACGGTTTAAACCATGGTGTTTAGCAGCTTAGCATCAAATGTCGTTTGAACCACTGATTTTCCCATCATCCAACTCTGGGAAAACATCTCCAAAAGCTCCAAAATCATCCAAACATCCAAAAAAAAACAAGCTGCTTGGTATCTTCCAAGAATGACATGTAGCCACAGACCGCGATGCCGCAGTACACCGCCCACAGCACCAGCGTCTGCACGGCCAGCACCCAGCGGGCGCTCGAGGGTCCGCCGGTGAAGCGTAAGGCGATCTCCGGGGAATTGGTGTGGGTCATGAAGGCGAAACAGGCCATGGACAGCACCTCGGAACGGTTGGCACCACCTTTCTTGTTGGTTTCCATTTCAATCAAAGATATATTCATATATGCAAAAAAATATTAAAATGGGGAGAACGATGATTTGCTGAATTTTGTTGGTCTGTTTGGTCCGTTTGTGCCCATTTCCTGCGGTCAAGGCAGACAACGGCCCTCTCTTGATCTGTTTGTGGCACCCGGACCGAATTTTTGGGAGAAAAACGATGGCCCAAAATTGATTGGTTCGGATAAATTCAATGAAATATACAAAATATCATTGGCAACCAGCCAGTTTTTTAATGGCTGAAAATTCACGCTGCAGCCCTGAGGGTTTTTTTCGTGGAATCCATCGTCACGGCACCTGGCCTGAAAGCTGGAACTGTTGAAGCGTGAATGCTCCAGCACCTGCATGAACGATGCATCTCGACCTAACCCGGCTGAAATCAGGTCTGGGGGGGCAATTCCTGGCCACTCATGGGGAAAAAAATGGGAAAATGAGGTGTTAAACCATGAGTTGATGGAAAATATGGGAAAATAAGGTTCTAAACCATGGAATGGAAGAAGGTGTTCCCTAAGTATTCAGGCAAACAAACCATTTGGATCCATTTGGGAGATCCCCGTTCCTTCGTTTTTGTGTGGATCGAGGATTCCTATCTTGTCATGTGATAGGTCACCAGCGTTGAATGGGAAGCAAAGGCAGCGCAAGTGACACACGTACTGATACCAAGTAGACCGTAGACCTTTCCAGATCTCTTTGTGAAATCCCGTCTTGATCCCCGAATTCCAAATAACGTGCCTTGCATCAGCCCCATTGTTCCCATATTTTCCCTACATCCCCATTCCCAACAAGTCCCATCACTTCCATTTCTCAGACAGGTTGCTCTGAAAATGGCTAGGAGTCTTCAACAACACTACCAGGCAGGTGAACAAAATGGTAGCGATGCTACAGGTTGACGTATACCTCACGTCGTTCAAACATGGACACTCCGCAGCTTGGCTGGTCAAAATGTAGCCTCTGGTAATGACCGAAGACTTTGCGAAGTGGAAAACCCACCATTTTTTTATAGCTGAATCACCGAACTCAATAGGCCACTTGCCATGATTCACTTGCACAAATTTTGTTTTGAGGTCCCAAGGACTGACTTTCCGATGGACTACAGTTGCATCAGGGCTCCGCCAGCTGCTATACTTTCTGGTGATCAGTGAACTCTGAGGGGGTTCTCCATCAACCCCAGTGAAGTTGGGATTTTCCCCAAAATATGGCCATGTGCATAGAGAAATTGATGATATGCTAGGGTAATTAGCCTGGGAATTTTTTGGTGGCGCCACCCATGAAGCCAAATATTAGGATCAACCAGCTAGGGTAATGACCCACTCTTATAATTCGTAAGTAATCATCATTCAACTATATCATTATATTATATTATATTATATTATATCATATTATATAATATCATATCATATCATATTATATCATATCATATCATATCATATCATATTATATTATATTATATCATATTATATTATATTATATCATATTATATTATATTATATCATATTATATAATATCATATCATATCATATTATATCATATCATATCATATCATATTATATTATATTATATCATATTATATTATATTATATCATATTATATTATATTATATCATATTATATTATATCATATCATATCATATTATATCATATCATATTATATTATATCATATCATATTATATTATATTATATCATATTATATATCATATTATATTATATCATATCATATTAAATCATATCATATTATATTATATTATGTTATATCATATTATATTATATTATATCATATTATATTATATTATATCATATTATATTATATCATATCATATCATATCATATTATATCATATTATATCATATTATATATCATATTATATTATATCATATCATATTATATCATATCATATTATATTATATTATGTTACATCATATTATATTATATTATATCATATTAAATTATATTATATCATATTATATCATATCATATCATATTATATTATATTATATCATATTATATTATATTATATCATATTCTATTATATTATATCATATTATATTATATTACATCATATCATATTATATTATATCATATCATATCATATCATATCATAAAATATAACATTATATCATATTATATTATATTATATCATATTATATTATATTATATCATATTATATCATATCATATCATATTATATCATATCATATCATATCATATTATATCATATATTATATTATATCATATTATATTATATTATATCATATTATATTATATTATATCATATTATATTATATCATATCATATCATATTATATTATATCATATATGATATTATATCATATTATATTATATTATATCATATTATATCATATCATATCATATCATATTATATTATATTATATCATATTATATTATATCATATATTATATTATATCATATCATATTATATTATATCATATTTTATTATATCATATCATATCATATTATATTATATTATATCATATATTATATCATATCATATTATATTATATATCATATTATATTATATACGTACATACCATGTTATATCCCTATGTTTTGCTGATTAAATGTCGAATATTTGATGCTTCCGAGGGGTGCAGCATCTCCACGGTTGCATCCGCTGGTGGATCTGTTACATTAATTTGGTCGAGGATGAGTCAGATGTGCCGTGTTAATTCAACATCGTATGCGGGGTATGGTCATCCATCAATGGGAATCCTGGCTAAATGGGCGTGTAAATCCCCATGGAACCATGGCTACCCCTCAATATGGCTGTGTAATCCAATTTTGACCATGGATACCATGGCACTTAATATGACTCCAACCAGGTCATTTCTCTAGCCAGCTCCTAACCGGGATGATCCTCCTACTGGATCTGGTGGGAGGCTACTTGGAGGCTCATCCCACTTAGTAAGTGGTTGATAAGCCTGGATACTGAATTTGCAATTAATCCTTAGCAGCTATAGCAAGTGGTTACTAAATGTTAATAATCCTGGTTACTAAGTCTCATAAGTGGATTGTCCCATTAAGTGTAATATAACCCCACTTACTAACTGCTGGGAGGTTGGACATATCTTGTTGGAGCTTCAGGAATGTCATCATGCCATCCAAGGATCCTCAAGGCTGAGAGACCTTTCAGACAGCCTCAGATTCAGTCGGCAAACAGTTTGAAACAAGCAGATTCAACGGATTGGTTTCAGGGAAAATCTACAGGAAACCATAGATTTTTCCCATTAAATATGGAGGTTTCTTGTAGTTTCTCCCTTACACCACTCTATTGACAGATACATTCTATACCGAAGGCTGGTTCATAGGGATTCGCAGTCCATGATGGATTATGATTCTGAAAATCCCCAATATAAATCACCAAACAACAGGGGCCCCCTAGATAGCTAAGTCAATTTATAATTCCAATCATGTATGTTTTATGGCAATTATAACTATACATAGTAAATGGGGTTTATAACCAACTTAGAATTGGGGGCCTCACCTTGTATACACATACATTGGTTCTTGATTTGGCCTGGTTGTGAAGGGGGTCCTGGTGCGATTGCGCATCACGAACCTGTTGAAATTTCTCCTGCTCAAAATGGGGACTCACATGTCTGACCTCAGGTAACCTGCCCAGTTGAAAGACCCTCGGCATGTTGTTTTAAGAAAACATGTTTCAAACAAGTTCGCCCCAACCTGGACGTTGCTCCACACTTACAATCGTCATGATCATCATCATGATCATCATGATCATCATCATCATCACCATCATCATCATCATCACCATCATCACATCATCACATCATCATCATCGTCGTCGTCGTCATCATCATCATCATCACATCAAAATTCGCCACCCCGGCCCGGTCTGAACAATATGATGTCTGGGGTAATAACATCAACTGTATATTCATGCGGGGTCAAAATTCGCCACCCCTCTGAACAATATGTTGGTTGGGGTAATAACATCAACTTTATCTTCATAGCCACCTGAAGTCATACGCGGCGCAACGTCAGGGTTGCAGCGAACAAGTTTAATGAGGCTGAAAGCTGAATGTTTGAATGAAAAATGATGTGTTTAGTGAATGATGTATTGAGTGGAAACCGTGCTAAGGACGCCCGCCCATGTTGTGTTGAAGTTCAACTAACGCGTGTGTGATTAAATGGTTTCCGTCCTGGCATGACATCCACATCCTTGCGTGAACAAACATTTTCTCAGGATCATTCAAACCCTCTGAAAAATCTGAAAAGGTTTTTTTTTGTGCGGGGGGTCTTCTTGTAAGGGATGGGCTCTTATTGTAAGGGGAGGGTCTTCTGCAAAGAAAGGCAATTTCCTCCGTGTATCGGTGGAGGGGGGTCGGGGGGATCTACTCTAGATGCTCCTCGTCGCCGTCGTCGTCGTCGTCCTCGTCGTCGTTGTCGTCGTCCTCGGAAGAGGAGCGAGGAGAAGGAGGAGGAGGAGTAGTAGTAGTAGGAGTAGTGGTAGTAGTAGCAGTAGAAGTAGCAGTAGCAGTGCAGTAGCAGTAGTGGTAGCAGTAGTAGTAGCGGTAGTCGTAATAGTCGTAGTCGTAGTCGTAGTCGTCGTATCGTAGTCGTGGTCGCCGGTCGCCGGTCGCCGTAGTCATAGTCGTAGTCATAGTCGTAGTCATAGTCGTAGTCGTATCAGCCACGTCCGCGACATTCAAGTCCGGGAACTGGATGGCTGCCTGGCCTTTTTGCTTGCTCTGCAAAATCTGCTCTCGCGCCCAGGACACAAAGCCATTTTCTGCAGGGACTTGCAGGACCGCGCAGCTCTGCGCCAAGCAAGGGTGCATCCAACTATCCTGGGGAATCTTTGTGAACCACAAGACTTTGGTGCCCGTCGAATTGGTGCTAGGCGTGAGCACGCCGAAGCCCAGAAGGCTCAACGCTTTCAAGGCACCTGCGCTGTGCAGAGCACCGATGGATTGTTAAGATTCAAGGCAAGGGCGGGCCTCAGATGCAAGACATCGTGATTCCGAAGCATCGGCTTCTTTTGCGACTCAAGCACGGCCTTGAATCATCACGCGGAGGGTCTGGCTGTTGATGGGCGGCCCGACAAGGCCTGGGATAGAACGTTGCAAGAGGTCCCGAAGGTCACCGCGAGGTGCAGCGGCGGCTGTGCAGCTGGGGCGCCCTCGGGCGGCGATAGCGCGCACGCGCTTCTGTGCGGGCTCCTGCGCCTCATCTGCTGCCTCTGGCTGTCGTTGGGATTTCTACTCCACTGCAAAAGGGTTCTGTATAGATGTTGAACATCAACAAAACCCATGGAGCACAACTCCAGCACCATCTGATTCTTTGCTACCCCCCAAAACAAATGGAGTTCGATCTCCAAGTTGAACGGATTGATTTTGTTCAGAGAAACGCTATGTTTGGTAAACGACGTTTCCCCTAATCTTTCGAGAAGTTGCATCAATCTTCTGGTCCCATCATCTCTCCCATTGCCAAGCAACTCAACGGCCAAATCACCACCGTCGCAGCTGCTGCCACGTTCAATTGGTCGGTGCACCAAACGTCAGGACCCCACAGTTCGCCTCAGAAACTCAGGACCCCGAGCACCCGTGGCCAAAACTTGCAAATGCCGTGCAGGTCAAAAAATCCATCAACTTTGGGGCGGATTGAAATCAAGAAAAAGTCTGACAGGTTCACAAGTGGCGAAGAGTGGGATGCAAAGTCAATTGGCATCATTGTTGTAATAATTACATTCATTGACAATATTGAACAGAGCATATATTTCGTATATAATATGCAATGTAGGGGTAGAGAGCATACACGCCATGTTACACATGATACGTATCTGCAAGACTTGTACGCACGTCTTGTTTTTTGCATATAAATGCGTGGGCGTGTCTGTACAACTTGTACACGTACATGTGTCTACCGGTAAAGTAATCCTTGAAGAGACGCAGACCTGTTCTCTTTCAGATCTTTGACAAAGTTTGATAGCTTCATCACAACCGAATTCTCACTCAGTCCTCCAGGTCCAATTCGTGCAAGAAAAGCCATTCAATGACTGAGCTCTCCAGATGGCGTGGACATCATCGTGCCAAGTCGCAAACTTGCGGTACATAGTCCATGATAAAGACCACCTCAGTGAAACAACAGTCCGAGTACTTGATATGCAATTCCAGGAATCCTCCAGGAATCCTCCAGGCAGTTCACCCAGTTAGATGAGTGGGGCATGCCCCAGTTTTTGGATGATATATATATATATATATGGCTTAGGATCACCACTAGTTGGGATGCATCGATTCTCTATGGCAACCTGCACTGACACCCAGCCCTAACCGATTAGCGGAGGGGCATAGGTCGCCACAGCCCCGAGACCTTCCACGAAAACAAAGAGGTCCAGGGTCATGCCTCCCGGTGGTAACGCCCTCAGACAATAGGCGGTTAATTTACATAAGCGTCCTAATATAAGGGTTGATGCTGCAAAAAAACGAAACATGAGGTCTACAGCAACTGTTTTTCGGAAGTTTAATTGTATTTGTTGAACAAGAAAAAACGACGTCAAGCTGCTGCTGGTAGATGCATTGCTTCAGAAGGGGAGGAGCAATCATTCAAAAGTAGCAGACTCTCAACTGCCTCCATACTTCCCCAAGATGTCAGACATCAATTGGCCGTAGGAACCATGACCAGTGCACGCAACGCAGTCGAACAAAATAGTATTCCTTGGAGCTCGGGAGTGGAAGCAGAGACCACATGCGTTTCCTCATTTTCTCTCCAAGCCATCCATCTTCCCCTGATGAATTTGGCGTTCAAAGAATTCGATTTACCCTCTGGTGAACTAACATAGCAATGGAAAATCACCATTCTTAATGGGAAAATCCACTATAAATAGCCATTTTCCATAGCTTTTTGTATGTTCACCAGAGGGTACATCCGCCCTCTTTCCCTCTGCGGCAAAATCCTCCATGACCCGCCAAGAATCGAATAGAAAGTTGCGACTCCTGCCATTGCAAAGAGCGACACAGAACCTGAAAAAAATGCCGAGGCGGCCAAGATCGCTGACCTGGGTTTGTCTGAAAATGGGGTATACCCTACTGTAATATAACAGTTTTAATAGGGAAACGGTGAAACGGATTCATGATGAGATTTTAGGGGTACCCATTTTTCAGACAAGCCCACCTGTTGCAGCCGCGATGAAACCACGTTAACGTGACAATCTTGCCACCCAATCAAAAATCACCAAATGATCTTTCTTCCTGAATACTAGATTCCAGAATTGAATAATATCCACTACATATGCTTGTATATATATATATGTGTGTGATAATCATGGTTCCCTTCAAAATCATCATATATATCATCATATACCCTCTGGTAATTTAACAGTTCACTATTGAAAATTGCCATAGAAATAGTCAAATAGTTGAATTCACCAATAAGAACTCTGATTTTCCATAGTTTTTGTAAACGTTTACTGGAGGCTAATTCAATATGTGTTTGATGCCCATGACCAGATCCCAATACCCAGGCGCCAAACGAGCCCAGCGAGCCAAGCGACCTAACACCCCTACGCAACTGACGCCATAGGGCAAGGCCAACACACCTGGAAACGATGGCGGGACGGATCACCCACGGATCATGGTCGTGGTCATGGGAGAATCCACGAAGATTTAGGGGACGAATCCCATCACCAGGCTGACAGTTCAAGCAGTTACGATTCGTGGGATGATCCTCCAGATATATGATGTACCATAAAATACCCCAAAAAAAATAGTGCATTACAGTCTCAAGAATGACCAAAATCTATCTTTTGCCTCCTGAACCCACGGTGCCCTGGAAAAGAGCCCAAGTAACTTGGTGAAGAAATGCGTGCCTTCAACTAGCCTGGAATATGAACAAGCCACCGGTAGAGGGAAAAATGCGTTTTGTATAAATATAGAAAATAGAGATATGGATCCAGGAATACATACAGTATCATAGATTGAGAAATAGCTATAGATGTAAGATATAGGCATATATTTGTAGAGAATATAGATCAATGCTTAGATAATGATTAGGTTTTAAGACAGGGACAGGTACATAACTTCTTTTGCAGTCAGAAACCTGGTCCCAACCGACGGGACGCAGCGCACCTGTTCCAATGGCCCCCGAGATCAGCAAGACCAGGGATCCACCAGCGGAACCTTCACTGAAGGAGCTCCAACCTTTGTCCAACCTGGGCAGCAGAAAGGTGTCCGTCTTCTGCCGGTTTATACTAAGTTGCTAAATATCATGTATATATATATATACACATGTACGTCCTAGAAAGAGAGATATATATATATATTTTATTATTATTATTATTATATATACATTATTATATATATATATATATATATTATTATATATTATTATATATATATATATTATATATTATATTATATATTATATTATATATATATATTATTATATTATATATTATTATATTATATATTATACAATATGTATATATATATATAATGTGGGATTGAATGGGAATATCCTGGCAACAGAATGAAGATCCATAATGGTGATATACCTACCCAAGAATGACAATATGACAATATGATATAGGGGTTTGGAGAGTTCAACCTTCTGAAGATGGATGTGAAGATGGACGAAACTGGAAAGATCAGTAATGTACCCTCTGGTAATTTGTTACATAGCTATTGAAAATGGTGATTTATAGTGGAATTTCCCAAAAATGGTGATTGTCCATAGTTTTTTGCTAACGTTTACCAGGCCGGCTAAATCTAACTCACATTTCTTGCGAGGATGGGATTTTTGTATGTGACAACCACTGTGGTGAACCGGTTCAACCGAGGCGCGGAAGACCCCGATCCTTCCGATTCTTCGGCAGCAACGGCTTCTTGGCCACTGGCTTCAAGTCCATGACCAACTGCCGGAGTCACCAACGCGGTGAATCAGCGGTGGAAGCCCAATCACGAGTCTTAGAGGAGATGCCTATCATGGAAGATCTTTTGGCTGTCGAGAGTGCTGATTTTGAATCTCAACGCGAAGGGAAGCTTGGAAATTGCGTACGTAATTGCTGGGCCGCTGCTTGAGCAATCAGCAGATCTAGTTGAACCTAGTTCTTGTACGGATATTCCCATTGGATGTTGTATGGGTATCAGCACCCAATTATGGTTGAAAATCATTCCATAGATGTTGTAAATTCCATCATAGAGGAATGTTCTCTCCAATTTCTCCGCCTGTTTTTTAGGCCAATGTCTGTTCCAAACTTTGGGCCGCTGAACTCACCAGGTCAACGATGTTCTCTCATGCGGTTGCCAACCAAGAGCTGTGAAGGAAAAGGGAAAAAGAAACAGGGCATGTCATGGAAACTACATGTCAGACCGCCGAAAAAAGTCTCTCAGAATCTAATCAACATCACTTAGCATCCCAAACTTTGTGTTTGTTCATCATCATTTCATCATTTCATCACTTCATCATTTCATCATTTAATCATTTCATCATGTCATCATGTCATCATTTCATCTTCATCTTCATCTTCATCGTCATTTTCTTCATCATCATCATCATCATCATCATCGTCATCGTCATCGTCATCATCATCATCATCATCATCGTCATCGTCATCATCATCATCATCATCATCATCGTCATCGTCATCGTCATCGTCATCATCATCATCATCATCATCATCATCATCATCATCATCATCATCATCATCATCATCATCATCATCATATAGAATCATCATATAGAATCATCATATCACCATCACCGCCATCACCGCCATCACCGCCATCACCGCCATCACCGCCATCACCGCCATCACCGCCATCACCATCACCATCCATATCCTTCAGCATGTTACCCATCAAATTATAGCCGTGAAATGGCACTAATATACATATAACATACTGTATATTATATATATATACATTGAGTATCTATATATATATATATATGCCAGTATAAGCCATGAATAAAATGCACTAAATATGCACATATATGATATATCAAAAAAAATGGTATCCAACCCACTTTGCTGACTGAGAAATCCTTGTCTTCGTTTTAAAGAAAGGGCGTTCAGCTCCTGGCCGCTGCAGCTGCCAGAGCCGTGGCAATCCTGGCTGAGAAGCTGAAAATCTGTGGACATCAATGGATTCCCCTGATTTAATAGGGATAATGATGGAATAATGGCTATTAACATCTATTAACCATTGGATTTATGGATCGATGTGGTTAATGGATTAATATGGTTAAAACAATGCCATAAACCATCCCCCAGTCATCACTATTTTTATGGGTGCTATAAACCATTCCCAGTCATGGGTGGTTTATGGCATTGTTTTAACCACATTACCCTGATTACCCTCCAGTAAGCTAACATAGCTATGGAAAATGGATGAAAATGGACCATCTGTAGATGAATCACCTATAAAAAAAAAAATGTGACTCTCCACGGCCATGTTAGTTTAACGGAAGGAAGCAAATATGAGCGAATAAAGATTCATAATTGTCAAATATGTGTATGTAATATGTTGCACCAGTTCTATCGTGGTAATATTCGATACCATCCTCATATGCATGAAATGGATCTTTATTAACCCCCAAAGATCATTTGATCCTGACATGGATCTTTAAAAGTCTGGTGTGTTGTTGGCTTTGCCACGGTATTACGGGAAGTAAGGACTGGCAGAGAAGCGGGTCAAGTTTTAAAGTCCAAGTGATCTCAAACTGTGAACTGATTGCAGACATCCCAGCGATTCCATCCGCGCGCGAAGCGATTTTGGAGGCACGAAGAAGCGGCGTCAAGCGGCGTCACGAAGACACACTCCGGTTGCGGCACCCTGCTGGAGCCTGGGGCACCTCTCTTCGCATCTTGATCCACATCAGATTGAAAAAGGAATCATCCAGTGTGTCTCTCCAGATTTAAATCCTCCAATCCTCTCTTCAACATTCCTCCCTAAATCATCTCAAGATCGATTTGCATCATTTGGATCCTTCAAACTGTCACTTCCTTCACTTCCTGCACTTCCTGGTGGCCGTTTTTACACACCGGCGTCTCATTGACCGCGAAGCCGCACTGGTAGCACATGCAGCTCAAATGCTGAGAGATCACCAAGTCCTGGGGGTGGTTAGGGTCCATCGCAGTGGAAAACAAGTGGGTTTTCCCATAGGAAAAAGATGGGATTTATGTGGAAAACCCATGGGTTTTCCATGGTTTTCCTAAGAAAACTGGAGAAATGTATCTAGAAATAAGCTGGGGTTCTACATCTGAGTTTACAGGAGGGTTACCAATGAATAATCTAATTGGAAATTGTAGTTCTGCGTTGTCGGTCATACGTGGAAACTTCTTGTGATTGTGATGTCATCAAGAATATGTTTTGACAAACGAGAATAGGAATTTCACCTATGTCAATATTAATGGGTCTGACTGAAAAAACACGGAAATCGATCAAAATATCCCATGTTTATCTCATTGCCCCCCATGGGAAATGCTTCAGACTCTCGCTACCCGGTAGGTACTGAAACATGGCTAGGAAATCCCGGCAATGGATCTGAATGGAGGTTTGTAGCTGGGAGAATCATCAAACTCAAATGGGGGATTTTTCAGCACGCCATGTTTGAGCAAACCGGGGCAAAGCTTCCTTGAGTTTCTTCACGATGTCTGGATGCTCTGCAGACACATCTCCTTGGCTTTGACAACTCAACGATGCCACATGTGCAAGGGTCAAAACATGGTATATGGTTTGCGGTCATCCATCCCATAATGGGAATCCGTATATGGGGTATTTGTTTGGGGGTATTTAACTCCCTCTCAATCAATTGATGACCATGCCCAATGTGGGAAACTAAGCCATGTTTTGACCGTGACACACATGGGCCCTGATTTCAGCATCGTTTCAAGTGGCAGTGTGGAAAAACTCAAAATCCAGCATTGTTAAAATTTCGAGACACCTAGATATGTCTGTCAACAAGCCTTAAAGTTCTTCAAATAGACCTGGATGCGAAAATACACCCTCTGGGGGCAGGGACAGAAGCATGTAGAGGAAAGCCCTAAGGCCCTAAAGTATCCATGGTTCAGCATGAAATTTATTACCTGGGTATCTTGTCCGAAAATGCGGTACACCCCCAGAGTCCCCTTGTTTACAATCATCTCCCACAGGTTTTAAGAGCCTTTTATTGGTGGTAAGTTCCCCAGTTTCAGAATCACAGACTATCAGATCGATTATTCGCTTGTAACTCATGGTAAATTCTCGCAAACTTTTTTGAGCATCGAACGAAATGATCCACAACTTCCATAGCAAACTTTGCAAAACTGGAAATCATTAGCCTAAAATTTGATTGCCGAAAGGAAATCCAGCATTTTGTCACTTCAATCATCCAAAAATCAGCTGGGTATCTTTTCTCTACTGGATCCTCTTGAAGATCATAGAGCCTCATGGCATCCGCTTGACTCGGCCGCAAGCTCGACTCGTCCTCGCAATGTGGCACCAGCCCTGCAGAAAGCCAGTGGATTTTTCTGGTGGGTCAAAAGCTCGGTTCCCCGATGGTACCCTAAAATAGCTGGTTAATGGTTGGTTGCTCCGCAAAATATGGTAATGTCATAGCTTTTCAGTGGGATTTGACCATCAAACATGGCGATTTAAGGATCAACAAGAGGGATGAAAAACTAAGAGTGGATTTGGGTGTGTCTGAAAATTGAGGAGACTATGGGGGAGTATTCCATTGAAATCGGGAAATTGTGAAAACTAAGCAGTGATAGACTGGGGTACCTATGGTACCTGGTCAAAAACTTGGGAATCATCGAAAAGATCTTCGGTATGATACGTATGGTTTCAAGTCAAGGGAGACCTGTATAACATCCACAGAAAGAAATAGCTGCTAGCGGCTGGTGGCTGTAGAAGGGGGTTGACCATCGCAGCCAGCCGAGTCCCGCCTTTCCATCGTCCGCTTCGTACGCTGTAGCCAGGAAGCCGTCTCAGCTGGTCGCAGATTCGACCTCCGACTCCAATCCAGGTGAAGAAGAGGTAGTCGTGCCTGGCGAGTCATGACGAAGGTGACGTGACTTCAAAGGATGAAGCCAAAATAAAGCTTTGGGATGTGAAGAATATAGATCATACATGGTAATACATGGTAATACATGGTAATACATGGTAATACATGGTAATACATGGTAATACATGGTAATACATGGTAATACATGGTAATACATGGTAATACATGGTAATACATGGTAATACATGGTAATACATGGCAATACATGGCAATACATGGCAATACATGGTAATACTGGATGCTCTTGTGGAAAAAGTTGGATTTCCACTGATCGAGCGTATGGATTCTACAGCAGAATTTGGAAGGTCAACGAGGGCATGAACCTGGGTATATGCTGCATTTTTCCCAGATGTTTCGCGGAGAGGCATCCACTTCAACTCTAACTTCCATGTCACATCCAAACGAAACGATTAAAACTTGAGTAACTTGAGATTGAAGTGGATGTAACTGAAGTTACAAAACATCTTGTCTTCTAAAACGATCAAAACGATTAACTTGAGATTCAACTTTACAAGACATGTTGACAAAACTACTTGAAGTCCCTGAGTTGGCTGAGGCGCTGCTTCTGAGTTTGGCCATAGAGCTCTGGCAGGATGCTGATGCCATCCGTGGAGGGCGATAGTGGCAGACCCAGCAGGTCCTGGTAGAACCAGATTCGAACCACCATCAGTTGGGACATGGGGCCCCTACAACCAGGTTTTATCTTAACTGGTTGGTGGTTTCAACCCCTCTGAAAAATATTAGTCAGTTGGGATGATTATTCCCAATATATGGAAAAATAAAAAATGTTCCAAACCACCAACCAGTTAACCGCTAAGAAAACTGGAACTGCACCCCCAAGCACCATTCTCTTCCAGGTCATGAATAAGACTTGCAGCCCGTTCCAACAAATGGCCATCACTGACTTGATGTAGTCAAATTATCAAATTGAGAGGAAAACCTTGTTCTTACTATCCAAACAAGCAGTTTCCTGCAGCCAATGATAGAATCAACTCCATCATCACCTCAAATTCCCAAAATCTTGCAGGGCTAAGACTGATATATCACTGTCCCACGCCATTCCCTCATTTCTCAGCAACCAGCTCCTGCTTGAACCACCTTGGACGAATGAAGGATCAAAAGTCCCATTCTACATTATTATTATAGAATGTTATAAAGTGGGACTTACAGTATATAGAATGTAATAAGAAACTCCCATTTATATTGGATTACATCTTGTTATAAAGTCCCACTGGTTTCTTGTTGAACTTCCAACTGTTTTTCCAATATCTCTGAGAACCAAAACTGGTCCAAACCACAGCGGATACCTTATTCCATTTCCAACCCCATGTGAATCATACGTACATATTATATCAAGTAGATTGTAATCAAGATCCCATTAAAATTATATCAAAGTCCCATTAAACCCGGCTAAATGTCATGTCTGTTTGCCGTTTAGATCCATTTTTTATATCCGATTCCCCAAAGTGGCCCAAGAATCCCAGCGAAAACTGGCTCCCATCCCGGTCCTGCACGGTGGGCAGCACATCCCAAAAGGCCCATGGCAACTCCGAGCTCCGCCCAGGGTTCGCCAAACCGCCGGGCCAGCGCACCATGCTGGGCGAGCGCACGCCGCCTTCCAACAGACTGCGCTTGTGGCCCGAGAGGCCGCCTGTGGAGTTGAAGAAGGCCTGGGGCGCAGTGGAAAACCGAAGAAAGAAACGAAAAATGAGGAGAAGTCCTGAGAAATTACAATATGCCTATGATATCCCATGAAATGGTGTGTGTTTTCCATATTATCCCCATTTTCTTCCCATATGACCCCAAGAACATGTTGGAAAAGACTGGGAAAATGAAGGAGAAGGATGGAGAAATGATGGAAAGAACTGGGAAAATGGACAAACACCGAAGAAAGCACTAGGAAATCAGGGGGAAATCATGGGGATCATATGGAAAAACTATGAAAAATAATAGGATATAACGGACATATTAGCAGGATAGAATTGATAGAATGCCAGCATCAAAACTGGGGAAAAAATGGAGACAGCCGAGACAACCATCAAAAACTGGGGGAAAACACTGGAAAACACGGGGAAAATCATCAAAGTGCGGTGCCACACTATGATATGATTGGATATTGGGAAGCAAAGCTGCGGAAAACTGAGGAAAATTGGTGAAACAAACCCCTCAAATCGGGGGACCAAAGGGACAAAAAAAAAACAACTCCTGGCAGATCTGGGGAATGTTCAGAAATGCTCAGTTCCTGTGATCTGGTGCCCATCCGACACTCTGACTTTTTGCTAGTCATCCCAAGTCGCAAGTCTTGGTCTAGCTCAAATCTCTTCAGATCATTGGAATATCCTCTGAAATATCCCATGAAGGCTTTATATCCCATAAGTTATCCCCTGTTATGATGGTTAAAGGTTAAATGTCCAGAAAATACCATTAAAAAAATTGCCATGAACTCCCAACTTTCCAGACCCAGTTCGTCCCAGTTCGTCCCAGTTCCAAGAGGCAATCTGATGTCCGCCCTCCTTATGCGCGCCATTGTCCGAGGCAAAGAAGACCAAGGTCTTTTCGTCGATCTTCAGCGACTTCAAACGCGCTAAGAGGTCACCCACCTTGGCATCCAGGTAGCTGATGACGGCCGCATGGTCCTGTGATGGCATCCCATGGTCCGGCCAAAGATGGGATGTAGAAATCACCAAAGATGGATTGATGAGCATCTCAGCATCTCCATCTTCCATGATATTCCATTCTGGTCCAGTATTGATTGCGAAAGATCCTACTTTTCATGATGAAATTCCCCAACTACCCGCTGGTAATTGAACATGGCCAGTAAATCATCTATAAATTCGAAATGTTCCTTAAACTACCGAAGAGTACCCCACATGTTCGATCAAATCAGCGCCGTGTTTCATTCCGTCCTTCTCCACCGCCGGCCACGATTGATTTCCATAGGCCATATCACTGGGCACTGGGTTGCCATCTTCCGGGGACGACGGAGCATCACCCCAGCCGCCCGCGTGCGGCACGGTGTAGCTAAGGTACAGGAAGAAGGCCGTGGGAGCCTTTACCACTTCCTCCGGTGCTGAGGTTGGTATCAAACATGCGGCCAAGCAAAATTGGGATGATTTCTATGGCTTGAAAAGGTAAAGTCCGCCATGGGTCAATTGGCTTATTCCTTCATTTCTGGGACAAAACCTACATGTTGGATGTATTATATATATATGAGTTTGTTTACCAACGCAATCATGCAACATACATAAGAAACATCCCAAAAATGCTGTGTTTTTCAGCAAAACCTCTCTCTTTCAAGTGATGACCAGTCATCAAATCGGTCATCAAGTCCCCTGTCCTCCATCCAAGCCATCGCCTGGTCGTGGAAGACATCGATGGTGTAGTTGTAGCCTTTGGGGTTTTCCATACATCGCTCTCTGCTGGGCGCGGGCGAATGTATGTTTGCCGACAGCTCGAAATTCAGCTGCTGCACTCCACCTCAGCGGATAGGATCTGGGATAGGAAACAAAAAAAAACGGAAAACGGATTCATCACCGTCTTTTTGTGGGGCTTACTATTTCAGACTTGATATTTCTATCTGTCACTTTCATGGGACGTTATGGTTCGATCTTTTTGGTGGGTTGCTATAGTAGAATCCGAGTGTGTTTGTAGTGTTGGAGGTTGCAAGAAGCTATGAACAATGCTACCCACCGCCAAGAATCTCCCCAAAAAAATGTCTTCCAAAAGGAAATCAGAACTGGTTGGTGGTTTCAACCCCTCTGAAAAATATTAGTCAGTTGGGATGATTATTCCCAATATATGGAAAAAAAAAATCCAAACCACCAACCAGAAATAACAATGAACTGAGGGATGCTCCTTCTGAGAAAATGAAAAAATAAAACTGAGATGTCACGAGGATTCTAAAATAGCTTGGCCACTGTGGATTTTCTTGGTATAGTCTCCTTTTCCCACATGTCCCACCAGAAAAATCATCAAAAAACACCATCACATTACATTCACCTCACCCCGTAAAAATAGATTGTAATTCCATGGTTTCTCCCCATTTTCCCTAGTTGTTTCATGTTTTTTCCCATGTTTTTCAGCTTAGCCACTGTCAATCTTCTTGGGATACATGTTGTGGCACAAGGCTTGATCTACTTGTCCCACGAAGACCTCAAAGCCTTGCTCCAGCGGCGATGCCAAGGGTGCCACTTTGCCGAAGGCGCCCGTGCGGTAGCCAGCCTGAGCTTGGTCAGTGGATCCCCTTTCAAGGCTCTAATGACTTGGATGATTTGGGGTACCCCCATTTTAGGAAGCCTCCACCTGGAAATCTCCATGGTTACTCAGAAAAAAATAGTTAATAACTAATGTCAACCCCGGATTTTGCTAAACCATGGTTTATGACAATTAGGGTGGTACTCCTCCAATAGTCATTTCATCTAATACTTAATTAAATGGTACCCTCCCAATTAAACAGCCTAGGCCTAGGGGTTTATTAATCCAGGGTTGATATTACTCACATATATTCAACATATCATCACCAAAAAACAAATCACCATATACAATCACTGATATTCAATTTTATTAATCCAGGGTTGACATTATTTTGGAGTCATTCTTTGGGGTCCATCCCGGTCCTCTCCAAATTGAAGCGCGCCTGTCGGAACAGCTCCGGCACCAGCGTCAGATTGGCCGCGCCGGGGTGCAGCACTTGGCCATCGAGACCCAGATCCCGAAACCTGCCGTGGCTGGTTTTTGCGAAGCCCAAAGATCCGATAGATTGAAAATTGGGATGATTTCTACCATTGGGGATGATTTTTGGGCTGATTTTCCCACCATTTTTTTATATTTTTTTCACACTATTGGGATGAATCTGATAATTGGGATGATTTTTTTCCCACCATTTTTTGGGCTGAAACCAACTGGGTTGGAAAATCCGAGCACATTGGAAAATCAAATGGGGATGGAAACTGAGGCTCGGGGTTCGCCTGCCGCTGTGTCTTCCTGTGAAGAAGGCAGTGCGGCTGGGAGCACAAACGGTGTAGCCAGCATAGGCCTACTGCAGACTCAAAGTCTTCAGATCAGCTGGCAATGGAAAATCCTCGTTTAGACATGGAAAATGCTGGGACAACCCATGGAAAATGGATGATTTCTACCATCAAGAACACTGTTCATGATTTCCCATGGCCATTTTCAATTGCCAAAAGGTAGATCATATTGGATCTGCCTGGGAGTTTGACAACTAAAATGCAAGCACTTGCAGCAGCATAACATCATTTAGTGTTCTCTGTGAAGGGGAACTCATCGCCACTGAACAAGCAGAAAGTGATCGATGAGAAGCTATGATATTTTGCCTCGCGCAATCCTTTTTTCGGGGACGTGTCACGTCAAAAAAAATAGGCGTAACCTCTTCATCTGTGTAGCCAGAAATTCCATGTGGGCACCATTAAATGTTGACCCCTTCTCCCAGCCACCATCAATCTCGCCTTGATTTCCAAGAAAGAAACGTCCCAGCAGTCTCCAGACATGGTGAAGGAAGCAACTGATCATCACTTCAAAATTGCCACAACTTGGGGGTGTCCCCCATTTCTGAACCAACCCAATATCATATAGTTAGATATCAAGTGGATTATATATAATATATATTACTATTATGAGTATTATCATTGTTATTATTGTCATTGTTGTTACTATAATTATTATCATTGTTATTACTATTATATTCCATTGTATCATATCCCATTGTATCCCGTCATATCCCATGATTTCCCGAAAACGACCAGCGACCGACGGCGTCGTCCTCCCGGCCTGTCGAAAGACGAGGCCCTCCCGACCGAAGCGATCCAAGTTGGGTGTGGCGATCCGGCCATGGGCCGACTCGGCCGGATAGAGTCCTCGGGGGCTCCGGTAGCACGACCAGGGACCAGTGCCCTGCGGGTGAAAGTTTGTTGGAGGGGATTCAACTTGGGAACGGGAACCAGTTCGCCAGCCGCAAGTCAGCCAAGAAATGTAAGTGCAGTGGAATCCACTGGTTCAAAGGATGTTCATCAAAACGATGGCCCTTAAATCTGCCCCATGGGCGCCCAAACTGCATCCAGGAAGCCCACCTCGCCCCAGCCCAAGTCATCAGCCATGATCCAAATCACATTGGGCCGTGCAGCACTGCATCTTACCGCCAGCAGCAGCAGTCCCACGGCATGCGCCATGGCAACGCTGCCAGGAGCTGAGGGGCTGATGGCTGAGTAGAAATGGATAACGTGGAGCTTAGGAGATCATTGTCACTGGTGGTTTGGACTTGTCGCAGAAACATGCATCAAAAAAAAGGATCGTCATCCTAAATAGATCTGGAATTTCTGGAATGCTCTTGAATGTACAGTAGATGATGTTTGGAACTGGAACTGTTTGAAACTATCGACCAAACGGGCATGATCTTTCTATCTTTTACTTGTGGGCTTCTTGACATTCGGGTCAACAAACCCAGCTGCCAAAGACTTCGGGGAGCGAGAGGGTTTGGGGATGTATGGGTTGGGCTGATGACACCTCAATCAACCACTGTTAGGTCCCGTAGTGCAGCTGCTTTCCATTTCATCTCCAGCTGCTTTCCATGGCATCTCTACTGTCGCAAACCAACCCTGCCCACCCAATCACCCACCATGTATTCGCACCTCCTGTGTCGTGCACTGCCGCTGCTGACGCTGCTGCGCGACAGAGGTGTGCTAATGGAGCTCCCCTTGCAGGCTGTTTAGGATCTAAAGGTGCAGGCTGTGCATCCGTTGCACTTCCCCTAGCACTTGAGATTACATCGCTCCGGGTTGCCCCCAACAGCCTACAGAAACCACCAATTTCCCATTTTCCCCTGCTCGCCCCGCAGGATCCTAAGGAATCTTATGCCATGTAATCTCACAGCTGCAGGAATCAACAGGAATGAACCTTAGAGCCTTGAATTCCAACAGGTAAACCACCGAGAAATTGAAATTCCACCATCTCACAATGAATCTCATGTTGTCCTGGATTAATGAAACCCGACTTTCCTAATAACGGGGCTGGGTCAAGACCTGGTCCATATGGGATGGAGCTACACCACGAATGATTGGAAGTGAACTCGGCACCTGCGAAGTCAAAACTGCCGGCCGTGCCGCTGTTCCACAGCCTTGGTTTAAGTGGACTGTGGAGCTTCGAATCTCAATGGCCAGGTTGAAGTTTGAGTGGGACTTTAAAAGATCAAAGAAAATTGAAAGTTGAACGTTTACATCGTTTACATCCTTTACCCTCTTGCCAAACATGGCGTGCTCGAAAATCCTCCGTTGACCATGGAATACTTCGATGATTTTCCCATGGAAAATGGGGGTTTCCCGGCCATGTCTGAGATCTCCGGCGGACAGCCAGCATTGGAGTGGAGCCAGATGGCAGCCTGGAGGGGAAGCTGCAGATCGGCAACGAAAATTTCACCCAGGGTGAAATATGACCATTGTACCTGCAATAACCGTTTTTTGAGATATGTTGATTCAAAATTCATGATGAAATACCGAAGCATCAAACTGGATATCAACTGAATATGTGGAACTTATTAAACATATACCATAAATTGGTGAACATAAATGGTTTCAGACCAATCCACCACTCGACATCTCTCTTGAAAGGCCACTCGTTCACTGCCACCAAGCTCCACACATTTTCTGGGGGTCGAGGGGTGCCACCTGCGTGGATGGAGGAATCCAAAAATAGTTTGGCTTCCCCTTATCAAAATCAAGAATGACCCATGCTTGATGATTGGTGTGACCTTAAAAACCAGGCGCTATGTAATCCTTGGTTTTCGCGGTTTCAGTCGGAGAGTCTGGGGAAGCGGGCTTGGAACCAAGAGGGGAAGATACATTCATTGCTTGTGAAGCGGGGCTAACCACTCTATGGTTCAAATAAACTGAAGACCAAACCCAGTCACCCAGTCTTCACAATTCACAATACAAATCACGCAGGAGCGCCTCGTGACACCTTTGGAAGCAGCAGTTTGGAGCCAAAAACGGATGCGCGGTGCCAAAGAGTGAAGGTTTATGTGCTCACTAAGATTTGTTCTTGTGACACTGAAGCAATGAATCTGTTCGGATGTTCTCGATAGTTGATTCCTAATCTGCCAAAGCGGTCCCTGATTGCTGCCAACTAGGTATGGGTCAAATCCAGTAAGTTGTTCTACCTGTTGCAGTCTACCCTGGTAACAATCATCAAAATGAGCAACCCGAATAGGAACTTCAGCTCAATCATATTGACCTGTTTAGTTCTGACCTATCCCTGTGTGAAGTCCTTGAGGTGAAGAGTTTCCAGGAGAAGAAGCCTTGGAACAGAAACAGAGGGATGGCAAAGGATGGGCCAAGGCCAGAGTTTGTGAAGTTCAGGGAACAACTTCTGACTTGAACAACTCTGATTTTTTTCGGTCAACGTAATGCCGCATCACCAAACAAGACTGGGCTTCAGACCAAAGTTTGCATAGCCTGTGGGCCAAAACCCTCAACAGAGCCATCTTTGGGATGTTTAGGTCTCCATTTGATCGTCCCCTAAGATCCATAAGCATCACCAAAGAACCGCGCAGAACTGGTCGCCCAGGCACTGTAGAGACCTGCGATGGCACCCAAGAGCACGGCCACGCCACAGCAAGCCGCAAGCGACACCTCAAAGCGACCTCGAGCTGGAACAAGTGGTGGATGTTTTCGGGGTACCCTGGGTCCTATACCATGGCGATCTTTTTCGGCTATCTTGAGACCTGAAATTCTCAGGCAACACTCCAACAAGAGATGCTAATCAAACCCACAAAAGTCTGTATGTCTCAATAGGTCATCTGGAATCCGCATTAATTAATTACATTCAACAGCCTGAAAGACATCTCCGAGTTTTCAAAGCAGCTGTTGTTTGCCTCATGACCTGTATGATCCACTCCAAAAAAAGATAGAAGTTGGTTAAATCCTACTAAAACAATGATGATTTGCGTGTCTATATCTTTTTGGGGGGTTGCATATACATACATACATACATACATACATACATTACATTACATTACATTACATTACATTACATTACATTACATTACATTACATTACATACATACATACATACATTACATACATACATCAATACAATACAATACAATACAATACAATACAATACAATACATAACATAACATAACATAACATAACATTACAATACAATACAATACAATACAATACATACATACATACATAACATACATACATACATACATACATACATACATACATACATACATACATACATACATACATACATACATACATACATACATACATACATACATACATACATATATAATATATTCGTGTTTTCTGTGATTGCCCTCAGCCCTCCAGACACTGAACATTTCCTCTAGGGTGCCCTCCATTCAGCATGGCAAATGCCGGACAAGACAGCAGTGAAGCAGCGGTGAAGAGAAGTACCACCTGTCAGTGCAGTTTTCAATTGCTGAGCTTTGCTGAGTATTGAAGACCTGAATTTTCATGAATTGTTTGATTTCTGTCATGTGGTTAGGAAAGTCTTTGTAGCTTCTTGACTCGCCATTTAGTAGGGAACATGGATCGCTAGATCCGTAGCTCCCCACTAAGCACTGGACAACATCCTAGGCACTAAGGACTTCGATTCATGAAACTTGCGCGGCCACTGCCTTGGCATGTCGAAAGAAGGCAAAGTAGTAAAGGCAAACTGTCAAGAAGTATACTACCTGCAGCCGCGCAAAGTGTGTGCTGTTGACTCGAAAAAAACACTTCCTGGAACAATGCAACAACTTCCAAACGTCCCGGTCCCAACGCACCGTGGTGGAGAGCACCAGCATCTGGGAGTCAGATAGGTTCGGCAGACGGAACCTGCAGTCCGGCTCCCTAAACGTCTTCTGGGAGTTGCTGTGGGGGTTGCTGGACCGCCTTTGGGGCTGTATGTTGGCAACCTACAGTGTCTTTTGGGGGTTGCTGGGCCCCTTTGTCTTTTGGGGGTTGCTGGGCCACTTTTGGGGCAATCTACAGGTCTTATGGGGGTTGCTGGGCCCCTTTGTCTTTTGGGGGTTGCTGGGCCACTTTTGGGGCAATCTACAGGTCTTATGGGGGTTGCTTGACCGCCTTTGGGGCTGTATGTTGGCAACCTACAGTGTCTTTTGGGGGTTGCTGGGCCATCTTTGAGGCAATCTACAGGTCTATTGGGGGTTGCTTGCCTTTGGGGCTGTATGTTGGCAACCTACAGGTCTTATGGGGGTTGCTGGGCCCCTTTGTCTTTTGGGGGTTGCTGGGCCACTTTTGGGGCAATCTACAGGTCTTATGGGGGTTGCTTGACCGCCTTTGGGGCTGTATGTTGGCAACCTACAGTGTCTTTTGGGGGTTGCTGGGCCCCTTTGCCTTTTGGGGGTTGCTGGGCCACTTTCGGGGCAATCTACAGGTCTTGTGGGGGTTGCTTGACCGCCTTTGGGGCTGTATGTTGGCAACCTACAGTGTCTTTTGGGGGTTGCTGGCCACTTTTGGGGCAATCTACAGGTCTTATGGGGGTTGCTTGACCGCCTTTGGGGCTGTATGTTGGCAACCTACAGTGTCTTTTGGGGGTTGCTGGGCCACTTTTGGGGCAATCTACAGGTCTTATGGGGGTTGCTTGACCGCCTTTGGGGCTGTATGTTGGCAACCTACAGTGTCTTTTGGGGGTTGCTGGGCCACTTTTGGGGCAATCTACATGTCTTATGGGGGTTGCTTGACCGCCTTTGGGGCTGTATGTTGGCAACCTACAGTGTCTTTTGGAAGTTGCTGGGCCACTTTTGTGGCAATCTACAGGTCTTATGGGCGTTGCTTGACCGCCTTTGGGGCTGTATGTTGGCAACCTACATGGTCTTTTGGAAGTTGCTGGGCCACTCTTGGGGCAATCTACAGGTCTTATGGGGGTTGCTTGACCGCCTTTGGGGCTGTATGTTGGCAACCTACAGTGTCTTTTGGGGGTTGCTGGGCTACTTTTGGGGCAATCTACAGGTCTTATGGGGGGTTGCTTGACCGCCTTTGGGGCTGTATGTTGGCAACCTACAGTGTCTTTTGGAGTTGCTGGGCCACTTTTGGGGCAATCTACAGGTCTTATGGGCGTTGCTTGACCGCCTTTGGGGCTGTATGTTGGCAACCTAAAGAGTCTTTTGGGGGTTGCTGGGCCACTTTTGGGGCAATC